TAGAGGAGGCATGTCTGCTTTTACATAACGCCCTTTTGGTTTTGATTCACCGAAGAGTACAAACATCTCTCTAATTACAAATGGAGTGGAGTGGCTTAAAAATGGTAGGTGTTTGAAAGACAGACATGCTGCTTGCTTTTGTCTCAATATCATAGGTGTTCTTTGTTTGTAAATTGTGTTCAGTATTGTGTTTTAAAATGTAGGGTCTTTGTGTGACTAGAGGAATGCTATTTAGATTTTTAAAGTACTGTATATTTTTGAGATACATGCACATTAAGCTTTATTTGGCATTTGGATGGAGATGAATAGAATGGAATTATTTTTCCTTTCACCGAGTTCTCTAGGCTTTTTTTCTTCAGCTACTTGTTTTGATGGGTGTTATACAAATAAGATTAGACAGAACAGCTGAACTGAAAGCGATAGCTAGAAGGAAAAGCCTGTGAAAGGTTGCCAGGGAAACAAGCTGAAGGAAGCTGAACTGAGAGCAGGTGGCAGTCATATGGGAATACCACGAAGAGAATAGTAGAATAGGCACTGTGATTGTCTCCTTCATTCTGCGCGAGTCACAACTTTAATTGTTTCAGAAGGTGTTAATTATATTTCAGACTGGAGGCTAGCACAGTTGAGGCTATTTTTAGACATCTGTGCCTTCAAGGTGGGAGGGGAAAATGGCATTTTGTGAAGCTTTCTTCCGCTGAGATGTACCTGTCAAATGGGGAGAAATTGTACAAGCCTATAAGTAAATACAAAATTTGTTGAACAAAGCCTACAACAGTAAATGGTGAGCTTCTTTCTACCAGTGGCTCTACAGTCATTCCTGGTATTTTCCACAAAGTGTTCTACATGGTCTGCCAATAGAACAATTTGAACCCAAAGAGGAGCTTGATATTTAACCTCAAATGTAATATTGTTGTGGGTGTACGGTGTGAGGTTGTTTTTGCTTCAGCGAAATGACGAATTCATCATTGTTCAGTTAAATTGAATATGGATGAAGCAATTGCTACGAAAAATTGGAAAAGGCTCTGGGAACAGAGATGACTGCAACTACGTAGGGTCCGGCTTTTTTAATTTTAATTTGAGCTGAAACCACTAAAGTTGTTTCTTAATTGAACACATGTATGGAATGGGGTACTGTATTTTTTATGTTTATTTTACAATGTATTGGGAAGGTACGAGTAGATAGTGAAAATTCAGTGTTTCAACCGCCAGTGAGACCCAAGGAATTCCTCCCATAGTAGTATAATAATGTGTTTTAATGCAACAATAGGACACTTTTTATATGCCATGTTCTTGAAGTGTTGAGCATCTGCTCATTTTACATCAAATAAAGAGAATAGCTTTAAAAATGTTTATTGAAAGTCGATTTTTCGGATTGAATCATTCTAAAATAAGTAACCTTGAAGAATACCATTTTCAGGTGGGGTGGGGGGGGAGAAGAGGTGCATGATTTCATGAAATCTCGGCTTCAGAAGNTTTTTTCCTAATAAAATCAAAATTGTTTTATATTATATATTATTAATATATCATTGTATTATGGCTGATTTTCATATTATTTCTATGAACAATTTTAAATCCTGTATTGGAAAATGAAATTTAAATGTTTTGTACAGCTTGACGATATAGATTGCTTGTATAACAGGCGAGTTCGATATGGATTTATTTAATTTTAAATTGTCAACTATGTATACTATTTAAAAAATGATGAATTTAAAAATTGATAATGAATACTATTTATCAAGAAAAATCTCTTCCTATACCCACCCCAACTGATAATTTAATGTTGCATTTAATAACACAGCATTAAATTATCACCAGTTACAGCCAGGGAAGTCTGTTTATTTGGGGAGGATAGTCCTAGAAAATTTGGTATACAATAAAAATTTAAGAATACAGCTAGAATATTTGTGTAAGTATCACCATTTTAATACTGCCTGGTAGGGAAAAGCCGTAAAAGGAATGGGTTTGTCAGAATGAGATTCTATGTGATGTCGGGAATAAAACAAATAATTCAGTTATTTCCAGCAAAGTTATTTGTTGCTATTTGTAAATGTAAACTAATAATGAAGTATTTTTATCACTGATATGGGATGCGGTCACAATTGTAATAAGCAGAGAGGCCTTTCTTTCCTTCCCTTTATTCTCTCTAATGACACGGAACCCATTAATGTCTTAGCCTTACAGCATTAAGATTATATGTACTCTCATTTAAATTTTTGACATTATACACCCGATCTTTAACTAAGTTCCCTTGATATAAGATTTTGTATCTGATTTTCACCACTAACATTCGGAAACGTAGTAAAAATGTGTATGTGTGTATATATATAAAATATATATATAGTCACATAGTAGGATTTCTAAAGTGAATATGGTAATGATTGAATTGGAACACTGCATAGAGGTCAATCAATCAAGATTATAATAGCAGTATAAGTGCTGAAATTTTGCAGTGCTTCTCAGCCAATAGGTCATATATGTGATCTTGAATTTAGATTATCCCTGTGCATGATTCAAGACTGTTTGGTTGCATTCACTGGATCATATATTTGCTATAATGCAACTTGCTTGTGATTTGATGTAGTTAGTCTTGACAGATTTTTCTTGATAGATCTCAATTCTAGATATATATAGTAGAAAATACCAATGTGATGGAGATAAGACAGTTTTTACAGTGCTTTGAGAGATGCCAACTGAAAATACAAAAAAAATTGTACCCACTGTATGCAATCTTGGTTTGTTCAAGCAGGGTGAGGCTGCTTTTGAAAGCAAGAGAATACATTTCCCACTGCATCTTTGAGAGAGCAAATAATATTTAATCAAAATCCTGGGATATTTTTTAATTTGAAATGAGCATGATGGCTCTTCGTTCCCCACCCCCACATCCCTGCGGGAAAGGAAGCAATTTTAAATACTGCATCTTCCCGAGCTGATCACCCATAGCAACTGGTGCTTGCTCTCCCTCCCTTCCTCCTTGTTTTCCCTGTGGAGAGCACCAACAATCTATTGCATATTAGTATTTTGTTTCACAATGAAATGTCAACCCTTTAAAGAAAAATCAATTCTGTTTCGTCTGACCCTCAATAAAATTGTCGATAAAATAAAATGTCTTGAATTGTGAAATTTAGGCCATGATTTTTCTGAAACTTAGGGAGCTGTGATTTGCAAAATAGCAAATAAACAGCAGACACTGAGTCTGTCATCTTATTACTTGTTCCATATTTCTGCAGTTAAATTCTCAAGAAAAGGAGCTTCTCTTATTTGGGATAACATGAAAACAAAATGTGTTCATCTTTTTGTGTGCGTTTGCTCACTTTTTAAAAAAAAAAAATGATTCGAGTCTATAACTGAAATTAAACTGAAATATTAATTAGCTTTTTTTGAAGAATGGATATTGCTGATTCCAGGACAGAATCTATCATCAGTAATGGACAAAAATAAACATAAAATTCATTTTTTGCGCTCTGGCCTTAAAATATAAAAAGGCTGAGGACAAAGCCAGGATAATTCCTATACTATTGCAATGAGACAATGTATACCTGTGCACAACTAAATACTGTTAGTTCTACAATGTAGGTTCTTGTGGTACTATTTAGCCATTGCACAGTGGTAATGAAATCTGACCCTGTATTTGTGGACAGGTGGTTGCGAATTGATTTTAAATGTGAGAAGAAACGGGTGTATTAAAAGTCAGTCTGTGCATATGCATGGTGGCATAGGTTGGACAAGGTATGTTCAGTGAAAAGGATAAGGGTTTTACTTACCAAATTTAATCTGTTATACAAATAACTTAATTTAATATATTTACAAGTGGAATTTTTTTTGTTGATTGATGTGTTTAGCCTTTAATTTGTACCATCTCATTATCCAAAAGATAACATTTAAGAACACAAATAGTAATTGTCTGAAAGAACAAAGGAAATGCAGGGCGATTGCTACTGCACTTTCACTTTGGCAAAATCGCAGAAAGAGGATAGTCAGTCAAAATACTAAATACAGTGCACCTCACTTATGACTAAGAACAATTTGCCATCCCGAAAATAGATTAATATTTGGTCTAAAGAGGATAGATTTGGAACATTTCTATTAACATTAATTTTATGACAAGTCTAACTCCAGTGCAAAAGGTGATTAAAAGTTATACAAGCCAAGGGCCAGAGAAGCTAGCGGGAAATGAAACCGCATGGTCAGCAGGACTGCAGAATAGAGAGGTAGCAGCTGGGAAGGGAAGCAGGAGGGAATGACAGTGGGTCAGGAGCCCTCCAATATGGAGGAGATGATGGGTAAATGTCCCAAATTGCATGGTAATATGGCTCACATATACACTCAGAGCATTCAAACACAGTAGTAAACTGAAGTGATTTTAAGTGTAAACGTTCCACATGATATTAGATTATAATAGCAACATTTGAGATGTATTATGACCACTGTTCGCTTTTCATTGTAGCACCACTAGTGGAAAATTTAACATGTATTTTTGTTTTGCTTTTTCAGTGGTGTTTGACTATAAATTGCTATGTTGTACTACACCATTTTGATGCTATGCAATGATCCTGAAGTATCGGCTCTAACAGAAAGAACCAGTGATGCTCTTAAAAAGCCAGGATTTCAAATTCTGGCTCAATTACTACAATAACAAAAATATGTTCTTCATTGCTAAAAGCTGCAAGATGATAGTACCAGCAGCTGGTAAAATGATAATCCTCGGACATAATCTTTCAAAAACATAAGGATTCGCTGAGGTGTATAAAACCATCTGCAATCCAGGAGTATAGACTAAAGATTACGGCTGTGTCAACCACTCACGTATTTTGATTTCTATACTTGATGTTCTTGGGTGAATTACTCCAGTGAAACTACAAATCACAACAGTTATTAAAGATTGTGTGAGTTACCTATTCTGTAATGACAGACATGTTTCACTATAAGAAGGGTAATTATTAGATGGCAGTGTTTATATTCAATCATGTATGGAATTCTAATGCTACCTTTTAATTTCTTAGATAATCAGCACCATGGAACCTCAGGTGTCAAATGGCCCAACTACCAACACATCCAATGGTCCTTCCAGCAACAGTAGAAACTGTCCATCACCAATGCAGACAGGAGCTCCAACAGATGACAGCAAAACCAACCTCATAGTCAACTATCTTCCTCAAAACATGACACAGGAGGAATTCAGAAGTCTCTTTGGGAGCATTGGTGAAATAGAATCATGCAAACTTGTTCGAGATAAGATAACAGGTTAGTTTGGGCCACAAATACACTGTGAAGTTAAACATTGCATGAAGGAGAGGACTATAAGGATTATATGCTGCAGGGGAACCCGGTTAGAACACCTTTCAATATGGTGCTGCATTGCTTATAGAGGGATAGGTTTTGGACTCTGACATATATGATGGATTCCCATGTGTACATGCGAATCAAGTAGTACATCACAAGAGCAGCAGAGCTGGCGTTCTGTACGAGCACACAACTCGCCCCAATGACATCACAAACCCAGATGCGCTGACCGGCAGTGGCTGTTTCATGTGCTCATTTATAATGTAGCTTGAAATTTTCTGAATCCCAACAGCCAGATTATAACAGGGTTCTCCTATACTTTTTGGTTCAAAATATTTTTAAATTGGTCACATTCAGTTCAGTCTGTTAAAAGATTCAATTTATCATAGAGTTATACAGCACAGAAGGAGGCCTTCATGTCTCTGCCGACTCTGAAAAGAGCTATCCAATTGAATCCGACTCCCCCACTCTTTCCCCGTAGCCCTGCAAACTTGTCCTTTCCAAATAATTATCTGCTTCTCTCTTAAAAGTTGTTAACAAATCGGCTTCCCCCACCCTTTCAGGCAATGCATTCCAGATCCCACAGCTCGCTGTGTGAAACAATTTCTCCTCACCTCCCCTGCTTCTTTTAACAACTATTTTAAATTGGTGTTCTCGGGTTACCAATCCACCCGCCAGTGAGAATAGTTTCTCCTTGTTCACCCTATCGAATCCTCTCATAATTTTGAAAACTTCTATTAAGTCTTCTGTTAACCTTCTCTGCTCCAAGGAGAATAATCCCAGCTTCTCTCGCCTCTCCTGATAACCAAGTCCCTCATTCCTGGTACCATCCTGGTAAATCTCCTTTGTATCCTCTTTAATGCCTTGACATCCTTCCCAAGGTGTGGGGCCCAGAACTGAACACAGTCTCTAACTGAGGCCTAACCAGTGTTTTATAATTTCATCATAACTTCCTGACTTGTGTATTCTATGCCCCTATTTATAAAGCCCAGTATCCCGGATGTGTTTTTAACAGCTGTATCTACCTGTCCGGCCACCTTCAAAGATTTACTGTATGACCCCCAGGTCTCTCTGCTCCTTCACCCCCTTTAAGATTGTACCATCAGCTTTTATTGCCTCTCCTCATTCTTTCTCCCAAAATGCATCACTTCTCATTTCATAGAATCATAGAATTATGCACAGAAGGAGGCCATTCGGCCCATAGTGTCTGTGCGGCTCTTTGAAAAGAACTTCCAATTCAATCCCACTCCCCCACTCTCTCCCCGTAGCCCTGCAAACGTGTCCTCCCCAATTTCTCCACGTTAAACTGAAACGTGTCTGGCCCATTTTACCAGTCTATAAACATTTTCCCCGAGCAGCAAAAAAAAAGTATCCCGTAAACAGCATTTCTGAGTAGATCACAACTTCATTCCCAATGAGTTTAATAAAAGTGCTGGAGAAAATCTAAAAATAAATAGTAGCACTGAGAATGTAAATTATTGAGATACAGCTATAACCACTGATCTTATTAAATTCCAAGCATTACGGCAACGTGCCTCATGATACATCTTAACATGACTGGAGACAGGAGCAGGCATGTGTACAGAGTATCAGAGCAGTATTGCAGTACACAATCGGTTGTTTTACTTATTTTGCATCAGAATAGTTAAACCTGATCTCATCTACAGAGACTAATAAGAGTTTTGTTAACATTGATTGTGTGTACTGGGCCATAACAAATGAGAAGATTTTGAGGGAGAGATTGCAATGGACTACCATTCAGCAGTAAAAGAAAGGCATTAGCCATCAGAAACGTAGGCACCCACTCCCTCAGTGTGAGGAAGACTTCCTTCACTGACATCATTGTCAAGTAGGCATTAATACAATTATCAAAATGACAGTCACTGCTTCAGAGATCATTTTATTAAGAAATTATAGGCCTTCGGGCCCTTCCCTGTTTTATCCTTTTCAGATAAGTACAGGACTTGGTCTTTGACAGTCCCGTCACCCAGTGCCATACTCCTCACTCTGTTAGTTACTTATTCACGGCCTATTCCAAGACTTGAACACAGTTTGTGAGGTAGTGAGAGTACAAATGAAAAGGCTGGGAAGAATTCAAGGAGATGTCTTGGTGTCAAGTATATCATATTTTAAATCTAGGTTTATTGTGGGACTTACTCAAATACTATAAAGGGACCGCCTGTATTTATTGATCTGGGCATGGAATCTCTAAGGTCGAGCATCTCCACAGCTTCCGCCGTTCCTTGACACGGGCAAAAACGGCCTTCTACTCCAACAATATCTTGGAGGCTAAACACAACCCTAAAATCCTTTTTTCCATCACTCACTACCTCCTCCGTGCGCCCCCTCAGGCCTCGTCAATCTTCACATCCAATGCCAAGTGCGATAAGGTCATGGACTTCTTTTCATCTAAAATACACAACATCTGCCAGGCAGCCTCATCCTCCTGCCTCTTGTCACCCACCACCATGCCCTCTCTATCCCCCTCACCCTCCCCATCACAACCCCCATCCTACATTCCTTCCTCCCCATCCCTCCCTCCTCCCTCTCACCCACCATCAGCTCTATGAAACCCACCACCTGCTGCCTCGAACCCTCCCTACCAACTTGCTGGTCACCCAACTCCCCCTACTCTGCTCACTACTGGCTGATGTCATCTCCTTTCCTCCGTCATCCACCTCAGTGGGACCACACTCGCCTGGTTCGAGTCCTACCTCACAAACCGCCAGCAGTACATCTGCATAAAAGGCTTCTCCAGCCACTCTCACCCAATTACCTGCGGGTACCCCAAGGATCCATCCTTGGCCCCCTCCTCTTTCTGATCTACTGCTCCCTCTTGGGAATGTCATCTGCAGACATGGGGTACATTTCCACATGTATGCGGACGACACCCACTCTATTTTTCCACCTCTCTTTGCGCCCCCCCAGTCCCCTGATGTTCTGTCAGCTGCCTGTCAGATCTCAGAGGCTGGATGAGCGCAAATTTCCTTCAGCTGAACGTTGACAAGATGGAAGCCATACTCTTTGGCTCTCGTCAACATCTAAAATCTCACGGCTCTCACCTCCTCCACCAGCCCGACCTCCCCCTAAAACTCTCCGAACCCGTATGCAACCTCGGCGTCAGGTTTGACCCCCAATTATCCTTCCTCCCCCACACCCGGTCCCTCACCAACGACGTCTTATTCCACCTCCGACGCATCGCCCGTCTCCGCCAGTACCTCGCTCCGAAAGCCGCTGAAACCCTAGTCCATGCCTTTGTCACCTCTCGGCTATTCTAACGCCCTCCTCGCCGGCCTCCCCTCCACTACCATCCATAAAATCCAGATCATTCAAAACTCTGCCGCCTGCATTCTGACCCGCACCAAACTCCGCTCCCCGATCCCCCCAGTCCTGGCCAGACTGCACTGGCTGCCTGTCCCAGAGAGGATCGGCTTCAAGATCCTCATCCTTGTCTTCAAATCCCTGCACTCCTCTGCACCCCCCGACCTCTCTGACCTCTTTCCTCACAACGGTACCCGTTGCCTTTGTTCCTCCAGGTCTGGCCTCCTCCTTGTTACCGCTCCACCCTCGGCGGCCGTGCCTTCAGCCGCTATGCCCCGAGGCTCCGGAACTCCCTTCCTCACTCCCTTCGCCTTGCCCCCTCTCTTCCTATTTTCAGGTCCCTGCTGAAGACCTTTGTTTTCGACCACGCCTTTGGTCACCTTCCTCCCCCTCCCCCCTGGCTCGGCTCTGGGCTCCATTAATGTGAAGCGCTCTGAGATGCTGTCCGGTGTGGAGGGCACTATATAAATCCAAGTTGTTGTAAGATACTGTGAAAAGTTTTTATATTTTCCTAGTTACTACATCTGCCTAATGCAACACGTTCTTTCCAATCACGACTTCACATCAATTGTTGTGCATAGGAGGATCCAAGTAAAGCCCACAAAGAAGAATCCACAATGATTTGAAGAGCTGAAATATGACCACCGTCCACCAGCCCAGATATCTTTGACCCAGGCTCTTTAAAATGCTGAAGACAGTTGCTGTAGATACAAGAAAGTTTATCTAACTTTTGCTTTCTCTCTCACTACACCTATTACTGGAGGGGCATTAGACAAAAATTAAAGACAACAACTTGCATTTTATATAGCGCCCTTCACGCGTTCGCTAGACAGTGACGGAGCCAGTTCAAGAGAGAGGGTGGGATGATCGTAAGCAAATTTAGAAAGAGGGTATTTAGGCGTAACTTGAAGGTGGAGAGAAAGGGAGAGAGATCCAGAGTTTGGGGTATAGTGGCTGACGGCACAGCCACTGTTGAGGGAGGGGACAAGAGTAAAACAGGAAGCCAGAGCCAGCTTCCCGGAGGCAGTGGGAGTAGAGGGTAAGCAGATCGGATAGGTAGGAGGTGCCAGAGCAAAGGGATTTTAAAACGAGTGAGAGGATCTTGAAATCGACCCGTTCAGTAATTGGTAGCTAGTGGATCCTGACAAGGACTGGTCTGATGCTACGGAGTTTTGTGCAGGTGAGTATCCAGACGGCAGATTTTGGGATTAATTGAATTTTGTAAATAGTAAATTTGTGATGATAAATGAATATTCAAGGATCTTTTTCATCCATCCTTAGTTATATTTTCTTGCGCCCTTCCCCGAGATGTTTAGTCTCAGGATTATTTATGCAGAATTTACCCTTTAGAAAGGATAGATTGGTCAATGTTTGTTCAAGGTCCAAATGCACTCCCCTTTTCCTCTGAGATCTTATGTTCTCTTCATTGCCTCTTCCACTAGAGAGAAAAATTTGGCATGAGGTAGTAGAGAAGGACCTAATTTAATGCCTTGCCAAAGATACAGTTTTTCAGTATTAATTCTTCCTTTGTATAACATTACAACAACAACAAAATTACATTTATAGAGCACCTTTCACATTGGGAGGACATCCCAAAGCGCTGAACAGTCAGCTGTCAGGGCCCGAGTATGGGGAGTTGGGGTGAGGGAAGGCAGAGAGTTGGGAAGGAGACCAAAGGCACGGTCAAACAGACCGAAAACAAGTTAATAACTGTAACCAAAATGACTGCAGTATGCACTTGTGCAACCAACCATCATCCAAAATATTTAAGGTGAAACCACAAACTTCCTCAGTTCCTCTTAGGATAATATTATAGCCCCTGATTGGAGGTAAAGCAATCTACTGTATCTGCATTTACCTAGACAAGCAAGTAAGAAGTGCTCTGTGACAAGGCTGTTCTGAGTTTTTATGGAAGTGGGCAAGGGAAGTTCAAATGATGATGGTCCAGTTTCTCTCATCCCTACCCCACTCCTCCTTGTCTCCCACCAAAACTATTTTGGTTTCTCTTGGTGGTTGGGAAGTCAGATCATTGGAGAGAACACAAGGAAAATAATTTTCCAACTATTAGCTGAGCTCTTGAAGAACTAATTTCTTCAATGCCAAAGTAGCCCATAACATTAATATGATTGTTCCAGGGATTATAGGACCGGGATAACATCTCTGCTTTGGAGCTTGCAGAGGTTAACAAGCACATCACTTAAAAATTACCTTCTCATTCAACCTTTGGCTGAAACCATGAATCTTATTACAAGGAGCCAAGGAGTATGGCTTCTATGTTATCAACATTCAGCTGAAAGTTGATGCTCATCCAGACCTTGACATCTGCCCGACAAGCAAGTGGATAGAACATCAGCAGACCTGGAGTCAAAGCTGGAGAAGTCTTAACTCCACAGTAACCCAACACACATTTAGGAACCCCAAGCCTTGGCTATTGCCAACCTGCGCCTTACACTTTCTGGAATTAGGGAATTAGGGTGGGCATACCACTCCAGACAAAGGAAAATATTCATGCATAGCTAACGTGGACGGGTGGAAGCCTCTGTCTGTTTTGGATACTCCTAAGCACGATGATTGGTTTCCACAAGTATCAGATTTTACTAAATTACCAAAGTAAACTTTATGGATAAGAGTAGGTTTTACTAAATTATTATAGGTAAAATACTTGGAGCAGATGCAAATATCCAAACTGTTCATATAAAAATCATAAATATTGTTCAATAGATTCATAAATTCCCTTTCCCTCCTCTCTTATAACTCTGCCACTCCAAATTTGAAACAAAATCTCGCAGGTTTCTTCACTCATTAAATTTGTTACCTATCCTATCTTGTTGAAAATGGCAATATACCACTGATGGGAGGGGGAAATCACATAGTTGCAAAATAAATTTCTTGAACACATAGATTTCAGTGCTGCTTTGGCCTGTTAAAATTGTTTGACTTATCCAGGAATATGGAGGATAACCATATTATTTGAAGAAAATAATATTACCCCCCGAGAGTGTGTATTGTACCCTATTGTACCAGGTTCTGGCAGCACATATGTAGAAGTATTAAAATGTCAGAGGAACAGGCTTGATTACTGCCAGTTTGAGTGTTATCTATATGCTCAATGCAGACGTCTTTAGGGAGAAGATAGTTCCAAAAAAATGTGTTTAGCAGCAGGATGAGAAAAAAAATGGTGCTTTATCCTTCCTTCTAATTCTTTGTGCCTTATGTTTTTTTTCTGATTTATTGGAGACAAAGCATGAAAGGATTTGCACCATTGAATTTTCCACTTCTGCAGTTAAGGGTGTTCCACATTGATAGTTGTTTTAATTGTTTCTTTCTCGTTGGGGTTAACAAAGAGGATTATTTAAAACTATAAGCCTGTTTTAAAAATGCATCCTGTCACTATTCCTTACATCAACAGACAAGAGGGAACTATGGAACACAAGTTAAAAATGTAGTACCACCCACTGATTTACACCCTCCCAATTATTGAAAAGGAACAAATGACAGGAGAAAGAAACCGTTATATCCATTTATTCTTTTCTAAACTACTTACCAAATGGGACCTAACCAAGATTTATTCAAAGTGCAGTATGTAGATCCTGAACATTGTTCATAGCTATTTGATGCTTCTTGGGAGTGTTACTTATTTTAAGTAAAGGATTTATGGAATGTGTTTATTGAAGCTTCTGATTTGTTATGAGCTTCCCTTAGCAATACTATAATCATTCAACGCAAAGTTTGCTTCTATTGTGCACATTAATATTGCTTTCTTCCAATATTAATTTAACTTTTAGGAAATGATTCCTGTAATTACTTGTAAATCAACAAATTGCATTTATATAGTGCCTTCATGCGGAGTAGCGTCCTGGAAACTTCAGTGGCGGAGTCTGACTTCGAGAAAGGGAGTGGGGAGGTGACCATAAGCACACAAAGTCGTACACAAAGTTCACTTAAAAGAAAAGTCCTGGCCAGCCTTTACACTCAAATGTTGTACATTTTCCAATTGGCGAGTAAAAATTCAAGGTGTATTTTATACTTTCATAACACTTGACAGTTCAATTGTGACTTATATTGTTGTATACTTTAAACTGAATATTTTAAGTACTCCTTTTTAAAAAAAAACTTGAAACTAAGGTCGCTTTATAATGATGGACAAATATTCGACGACCATCCAAAATTGGAATGAAAAATATTTCTACAGTGGGATGAAAGGAGATGGAAAGATCATTTTAGAAGTAGTGGTTGAATACTTCTAAAAGCATACATGGTGCTAGGGAAATTGGGAGCCAATTCAAATTTCTAAGTCACTGTTCTGCGTCTCAGCCATGCTGCTGTAAGATCTAAGTAAAGGCTGACTAACGTCTCTTGGGAAGGGAGGAGCACAAGAAGAATTGGAAGGAATGGCTTCCATCAGGCCACTCCAGTACATGCACCATAAGGAGTGGTGGATGAATGAGGTTTACAAGGAATTTGACTGCAGGAAACAAAAAATATAATATTGGGAAGGAAATGGGCTTCATACTGTCAAAAATTAAAAGATGGCAAGAAGATAATGGTTCCAATTTAGGATGTTTGATTCAGTGTGATGATGTTTGGGTATTATAGAGTTTATAATGTGTCATTAAGTTAAAATCATTGTGTGCTAAAGTCATTTACTTTCATTTTGAATTCTTTTATTTATTGTTCTTTTAAAATTAAATAGAACCTCGGCATATTGCGTTATTTCTACATAATTTCCTTTGTGTGCAAATATCAAAATAGAATGCTATTTTATCCTTACGTTATGGAAATTGAATAGTATCTCAGGTATGGGTTCAGTAATTTTGGCACACTTTGGAATTCGGCCCCCAAATAACTCACTGTACCATACATGTGTTAAAGCGTTGCTGACAAGAAACAGATACAATAATAATTTAACGTTTGTTTAAAAAAAGCTATTTAAAAATTTAATTATATAAATTCACAAAAATATTGTGGAATACTTGCTGAGAATACTTTTAACAAGTGCATTCAAGCCTCGACATAAAATAACTTTAATTTTTTTTAAGCGTTTAGACATAGCTCTCATAAGTCAATTTGCCCTGTTTTACTTCCTGTTTCCTGTCTTCATGCATTTCAATGGTACTGACTACAGCTGATTTAAAAAACACTGGTAGGTATGCAAAACATGTTATAGAAATCAAAATCATTTAGAGTCTGCGATTAACTATTGCTAATGTTTTTTGAATACTCAAAATCGTCTCCCACACTTACAATTACTGTTTATGCATAGTAACTTGTGTTTGTAGCATAACCCAGTTGTTACATCATTCAGCTGTCTTCAATGTATATGTGTTTATTAATCCACTTAGAACACCAATAGGTGGCTTTTTCTCTAGTTATTTTTTCTTAAAGAAAAGAAGTAAATTATTACTCTTCTGAGTGAAACATCCTTTAAAGGGTCATGAGGATTTATTTTTAAAAATATTTCAATGAAGATCAAAATTAATTATAAGCTTGGGAACATTTGTTGATTTAATTGTGCATTATATCCACTTTACATTTGAACCGGTAACAATACTGTAAACACAAGAATTAAAATAATGGACGTTGGGGATAATAAATAGAGGAATTCTGTACTACCAAATTTCGGCACATTACAAAATTCCCTTTAATTTAAGATCTGACCTCTACTTTAGACGTTTTCAAAATTCCTGCAGTGTATTTTTCCCCGTTAACTATTTTTGTAAGATGCATGATCCAGCATTCATTTTACACAAAGGCAGATGTTTGCATTTTTCTTCATGTAATTGTTAAAGACCATGGTTCTCGTTTCTGAATCCATTGATTATGTTACTTTTTCCATGTTACCACAATAAAATCCTCCATAATACTTTTTTTTAAAAAAAGTTTAAAACTTCAAAACCTTTTAACCACCCAGAACATAGTATAGATGAAAAAGCACAGCAACACCTAGTTGAATAGAATGTTTATACAGCTTGTGAGCTTGATTGTAATAAATGGTCAGTTCACTTTTGCAAGATCTATATGCAACAGGCACCTGCCATGTGTTTTCCATATTTGTAATAAAAGCAAATGCTCTGTTGTTACTATGATTATTTTTATAAAGGACAATATTAGCTGTGATATTTTTTTGTCCAGCTGCACTGTACACAGTGTTTTTGATAAGATTTCAATCAAGCAATTGGAGGTGTATGTAATACACTTACATTTTACATCTAATTGACCAGAGGAAACTTGAAAACACCCAGTAATACAGTTACAGCTCATATGCTTTCAAACTATCTGGAGAGAGCATTTTAAGCGTTATAGTTTTATAAAGTTTAAAATACTATTATAAATCTTATAATAAGGTTTATAATATTAGGTTTAAACTAATTTTACCTCCACAAATAGTGGAGATAACATTGGTTTAAATGTGATTTTCTTTTCTCCTCCCGCCATAGCTAATTAGCACCAATGCATAAACCAAGTGCCAGCACTGCCAGATCAGACTTCAGTGCCCATTTCTGTAGAACTGAATTACAATTTAAAAGTGCAAAACATGAAAGTTGCGATCATCTTATTTGTGAAAACATTTCAGACAGTCAAGAATCTTTTCCATTAATACATCAAGTTTGAATTTCATCATCTGTACCTCTTTTTAAACTAATTTTACTAATGGTAACGTTCTTTGCTTCTGGCTTCCTGTTTATGTTTTGTAAAGGGCATGTGTATCCACTGGCGGAACTGGCTTATGCCTTACAGTATGAAGTATTGGATATCAAGAGATTCCATTCCTGGATCTTCGAACTATTATGCCATTAGATTCTGTATGTTAATTAATTTACCTTATACTAACTAAGAACATGCAGGTAGACTTCCAATCCAGTTCCCCCATATCATCAGTTCCCTGTAAATAAATGTGAAATTCCCAAAATAAACAGGTTTGCATAAACATTTTGACTTTTGAAAAGAGGTACAACTAATGAGATCATTTGATGTGCCTACTTTTAATAAACAATACTGAAAGATTTCAGTAACTTGTACATTGCTTCACTTTGGTTCCATGAACCCTGTAATTGATCTTCTGCACTACAAAGAAAAATATGGTCTTTTATATTTAATGTTAGTGCAGTCTTGTATCATAAAATTAGATACGATTTAGTAGCACAGTTTAGAGAAAGTTGAGAAGGGCTTTCTTCTATATCAACCAAAAAGTTGTTTTATTCTTTTTAGGAGCACAAGTGGTTCTTGCTGAGTTTCAGTGCAGTGATATAAACTGATAAACTTCATTTTTCAAAAAAAAATGTTAGCCATCTATAATTTTTCCTGCACAGGGCAGAGTTTGGGATATGGTTTTGTGAACTATGTTGACCCAAAGGATGCAGAAAAAGCAATTAACACTTTAAATGGACTTAGACTTCAGACCAAAACCATAAAGGTAAGAGGTGTCATTTCTTTTTGAGCATTGGCTTTTGAAAATTACTTCAGCGAACATAAGGAGTTAGTGCTTCTGAAAATTGGGTTTTATGGGCTTTTTTTAAAAAAAAACAGTGCTCTTGTTAATGATACAATAAGAAATACTTTACACACAGAAAGATTGGAAACAGTCCAAAACCAGAGCTGGTGCTTTCTAAATTTAAAAAAAATCATCTGGTATAATAGATTTAAGTAGCTGAACCTCTGGTGGGAAAACAGAAATCATCTAATATTGCTAATAGTGGTCCATATTAAGCTAGATTTTTAATTAATTGCCAAACCCACTGCACCTAATGTTAATGAGGTTTCAAATAAACATTCTACAGAATGTATGTCAAAAGCTAGCATTCTGCTTTTTTCTCCTCCCCCTTTTTTCATACTATAGAATTTTCTGAAATACAAATCTGTTTTATTTTTATATATATATTACTGTTTATTACTTTTCCATCTTTTTTCAAGCTTTAGGTAAATGGTTAGGTGATTTTCTTTAGTATGTTATTCATCTGTGCTTTGCTTTTGAATTTTGATGTGAGAATCATTGTATTATGCAGCCAACCAATCGAAATTTTCAACTTCAATATTAAATTAAAGAAAAATAATCAGTTTTCGCTGGCCACTAAGACAGTTGGATTTCTGCATATCTGAAATATTCAGGGTCAGAGGTAATTGGGACATGTACATTTTCCAATGAAATAGGTGTGCGTATGATAAATTACCATCTGATTAATAGCAAAATTGTCTTTTACTAATTTGAGAAACTCCTTTAGACCAATAACAGGAAATCAGCAAATGTAGAAAAAAAATGGCCAGTAACTCCTTCTGAGATCAATACACATGTATTGTAAACCAGAGATTGAGCAGAGTGGGCCACCGTAATGTAGATGGATCCACAATTGTATTGCTGGGAGGGACTGAAGTTTGTGGGCAAAAACAACAACAAAATTACATAAGAGCTTCCCTTGTACAATCAATGTGATCCTACAGCAGGAAGCAGGCATCTTGAAGACTCAAAACTGCAAAATCAGTAATATAAACCACGTGCCACAGGCATCTCACATCAACAATGTAGATCAAGGTCAATAACAAACAGCTGAAGCACAAAGTATAACAGCAGCTCAATTTGGTGGGTGTTGGATATGCAGAAGTCCACTCTGTTTATCACTAATTACCAATGATTACCAATCATGGAATGATTTTAAGCGGTTCCTTGTAAAATATATATATATACATTTACAAAAGATGACATGATCTAGCTTTTATACACAAGTCCAAGTTAGGTCAGTCAGTTAAGTACTGGATTTAAAACTAAAACATTTTGGGATTTAAATCAGGTGGGTCCACCCTACACTTCAAAGTCAATCCTTTGTTTTAAAAAAAATCTTCCGTGGGGGTTGTTCAGCTGGCTCAGAGGGACATTCAGGCAGGTGTGCAATAATCCAAGCCATTGATAACCAGCCTGTTTGGCTGATCAGTGATATATGTAAGTGGACATGTCCTGAACACTGCATGCTAATATTCCTAGCTGAACAAATACCATGAAACTTGCCGGTGTTAAATATTAGTAAGTTGCACGTTTACAATTAAATTGTTTTAAAACACCCAGCAAAGAGGTCCCAGAGTCCTTCCAAACCAATTAGAGGCTTCCTGACATTGCATAACTGCTGAGATTCAGAGATCAAAGATATGATGCACCTCAACATTGAAAACTTCTGAATATTTTTGTCCACAAGAAACTGGTGGTAGATCATACATTTTGCAGCTCATTAATTCATACCACAATTTTAAAAAATCAGATAATCTTAATGCATTAGTTTAACTCAAAACAAGTTTCAAATATAAAATGTTATCTATACTTTATTAAAAATTTGAACTAAAGCTAGGTTCTTATTTTCCTATCAGTGTGCATGCAACAAATATTTGTACAAATATCTTAGTGTGAATGTACCAGCTTCATAAATATATTTAGAAGATACTTTGCAACAAATGTAACATAAATTGGTTCTAAATTAATTGTGTTTCTGAATTAATACTGATGTATTTAGAAGAATCTTCTAACTTCCCCCCCACCCCAAGGTTTCCTATGCTCGTCCAAGCTCTGCATCAATCCGTGATGCGAACTTGTACGTTAGCGGTCTTCCTAAATCCATGACTCAGAAAGAACTGGAACAGATGTTTTCACAGTATGGCCGAATCATCACTTCCAGAATTTTAGTTGACCAGGTCACAGGTAAGTAATTTAAAGAAATCTGTAAAATTAATAATCACGACTACATTTCATCATAGTTTATTTAAACTGGTATTTATATAGCGCCCTTCACGCCTTAGAGGGTTTCACAAATTCGGATATAGACACTGAGCCAGGAGGGAGGTAGGGAGAGGAGCATAGTTGAAGAGGTAGGTTTTTAGGCAGGATTTGTAGCCAGACCAAGACAGAGGGAATTCCAGTGGTTATGGGGCATTGTGCTGAAGTCTCAGCCGCTGATAGTAGCTCGGAAGGGGCAGGAGATGTGTCCATGTTAGTCAAGCAGAATGCTGGGGTAGGGAGAAAACCATGAAGGGATTTATAGGTGAATGTGAAACCTGGAAATCGACCAGTTTGGAGACGGGGAACAAATAGAGCTTGGCAAGGAGAGGCAGAGTTTGGTGCGGGTGAGGATGTGAACATAGAGTTTTATAGATCTGGAGTTTATGATTAGTGGACCCGAGAAAGCTGGTGAAGAGGGTAAAGTTGCCCTAAATATTTTCTATTATGTTGTTAAACCACTAAACAATCAGGAATTTCTATAATTAAACATTGCTGTTTCAAAGGTAATAAATATACTTTTTTAAATGATGCAACATAGGAATCTCTTGCTCATATTGTCTTTTAGGTGTTTCCAGAGGAGTTGGATTCATTCGTTTTGATAAAAGGATAGAAGCAGAGGAAGCAATCAAGGGACTCAATGGGCAGAAGCCGTCTAGTGCTACAGAACCAATTACTGTGAAGTTTGCCAATAACCCCAGCCAGAAGACGAGCCAAGCGCTACTTTCACAACTTTATCAGTCACCGAGCAGACGCTACCCTGGACCACTACATCATCAGGCTCAAAGATTCCGGTAATGACAATACAGATAACCTAATCTCAGTAACTTTTGGTTGTCTTGTATTTTCTAGGTATCGCAACCACATCAATTGCTTTAAATGTAAATGAACAGATTAAAAATATTGTTAGTTTGCTGACATTTTGTGGATTGCTTCTTTTAAAAACAATTGTGCTTTTTTTAAAATCGGAAAGTAACTGAAATATGTACAAATATATATGTATGATTAACTTTGCATTCGCAATCAAGTAGTAAAAGCTCGTGCTCAGCCAATCATCGTGTATTGAACTCAACTTCATAGAGTTCCTAAAAATGCTGGAAAATACACAGGGAGCCCTCTGGGCAACAGGTTTTGAAATGTGTTCAGTTAATGCAATGTTATGTTAAAGCAAATAGTTATTAAAAAAAACTTCTTAAAATCACCAAAAATAATTGATAAATGAATAACTTAAATTGGTCTTTTCTTAGCCCGTCCATATCCCCATATTTATAAGGTCTACCAAGTCAGTGAGCTGTTTATCTTCTCAAAATGTCATCTTCATATTTTAATATTTCACAAAAATTAGGTTGTGTGATTAAGTTTAAGTTGGCCTATATATTCAGTTCTGTGTCCTATAATTCAATGTCATAAATGTATTGTATTCTATACAATATGTAGGCAACACATCTCTGCTTATTACTAGTTTTTTTAAAAATATACAATTCTACAGTCAATCACTAATAACACCAAATTATAGGTACTGCTCAAATAAAATACATTTGTTTTATCCCACATATTTATACATTATGTTGCACTTTTATTCCACTAAATACAGATGTAAAAAATGGAATGAAACCAACGCCTGAATGACCAATATATTCAATATCTTGTAAAATCATTAATGCCTTCTGCAAAAATGAAAAGCGACATTTATATAGGAGTACTGGTTACTAGTATATATACTTGGGAAGTTCAAGATCTCTTGCTCAAAATGGACCATTTAGCAGCAGTTCCATTAAATGAGCTGCCATCTGTGAAACATTAACCCCAGGACCTCCTTCTCTTTTCAGGCTGGACAATTTGCTTAATATGGCCTATGGCGTAAAGAGGTAATTAGAACTGCACAGACTGCCAGATGTCCATGTTGGCACAGATTGTTGCTAATTTATTTTGACTAACTTTTTAAGTTTCTTTCCACCAGCATGTTAAACTTTTGTTTCAGACTTCAGTTCTTTTGGTTGTCAAAAAGACCCCAAACTCCTTTGTTTATCCACTTTAATTTGCAGGTTGTGTTATTTAGTCGATTCAGGTGCAGCAGCTACAAATGATATTGTTCCAAAAATATACCAGCTACTTCTGAGGCTAAAAGAAAATATAATGACAGACCAGTGGAGGTCAATGAGGAGTAAATAAGCAACAGCCTCCACTTGAACATTTTGAATGTATTTGCATCTTATGAAACATATTGGAAATGTTAAGAGGCCTCTTCATAAACTTTATGGTTGGACAAAGACAGTTGTGTGCACCTGTATCACTACTTGGAGTTTTTTTTTTACAAATTTCACTATTCCATTTTCCCAATGTTTTTTTTCCTTTTAATAAAATTGTTTCTTTGTGTGTGATCAACTGGGCTTCAAATGAAGTGTTGTAAATCCAATTTTGGTACTTGATTCAGCCAAAATAATTGAGAAATAATGAGAAGGGGCTATTGGAGTGGAATCAGTCAAAAAAAATTCTGGTTAAACCAGATTTAAACACTAGTTTGAAGCCCAACAAATTAATGCAGCAGTTATTCAGAATTATTTGTTAACATTTTTAAGTACAAAAATATTCAAACCATTTAGATAAGTAGTTAAAACTGAACATAACAATAATGATATTAAGCCTTGCATTTGATATAGCTTCTTATGGTATCACAGCGCTTTACAGAATATATTGTAAAGTGATTGACTGTGTTCTGTGGGCAAAACAATAGTACATTTATTTAAAAAAGGATGATGAAAATATTACTCAGCATAAAAATCTAATAGGAAGGATTAATGTATTAAATGATGGCACATATTTATTATACTAGTGAAATGAAATAAATTGTTCAAGTTTGATGTGAAAGGATGTATCTGCAGTACAAAGGGATGTCCCCCTTTCTTTGTTTGACAGGTTCTCGCCCATCACAATTGATGGGATGACCAGCCTGGTTGGAATGAATATTCCTGGACACACTGGAACAGGCTGGTGTATCTTCGTCTACAACCTTTCCCCCGACTCAGATGAAAGCGTTCTCTGGCAGCTGTTTGGACCATTTGGGGCAGTCAACAATGTCAAGGTCATTCGTGATTTTAATACAAACAAATGCAAGGGATTTGGGTTTGTCACCATGACAAATTATGATGAGGCTGCCATGGCAATCGCAAGTCTAAATGGATACCGCTTGGGCGATAGGGTTCTGCAAGTATCATTTAAAACCAACAAAACCCATAAATCCTGAAGTGCACATGTAGTATCACACTCGCAAGAACAAATTGAACTTGAAAAGGCTTATACTAAAAATGGACTTCATAAGCCAGTGTTGCCTAAGTATTAACATAGGATATCCTGTGATGAACCAGGAAAGGATTTTATAATGCTAGAAAACTTTGATGCATTGAATGTTCTTTCATAGCCGTTGTTGTTGAATATATACATAGATAAAATGTGCAGGGATTTTTACCCAGCCTGCTACTTTACTACCTTCTTTGAAGGTGGACCTTTTTAAGTCACCCATTCACGTTGAAAGAAAAAAAATTAAGAAAAATTTGAGAACATAACATTTTTACAAAAATACTTTTCAAAATAATTCATCCAAATTGATTGTTTAAAAGGCCCCCCTCTTCATTGGAGAAAAAGATCTGCTAAACCGCTGTTGCAGATGTTTTAGTTATTCCTTTTGCTTTATATCATGTAAACAAGATATTTCCTGGTTCGGAAAGGGGGAGGGGGGGCGGGGGGGACACCTGATGACATGACTTAACAAACAATGTTGCCAAAGAGATGGTCTCTTTGCTGAAAATGGGTTTCAAAAGATCTATTTTTATAAAAAGGAGCATTTTTACAGGATCTGGATTTGAAAAAAATATTTTGACTGGCTAATATGGGGGAAAAAGGACAACTTTGTCACGTTCATACTGTACTGGTACTTTTTAGGATCAAGATGTGCGTTTTAATTGGGCTGTAGATTGTTTTTTTGAACGATGGGAAAAAACAGATGATGTTCATATCTTTCATAGCATGTAATAATGGGGAGAGTAGTTTCCCCAGGCACACAGTTCCCCACAGTCAAAACCCAAAAGCAAGGAGATTAGTTGCTAGACAGTTTTTTTAAGTCATCAGTAACAGCTGGCCAATATCATAAAATTGCTGGATTTTTTCCTAAAATAAATGTCAAAACTTTCTTAGTTGAAGCAGTAGGTGCTAATGAGATTTACATATCTTAAACTTAACTCGAAACATATGAACAACATTACTTGCTTTATCAGAATTGACATTACTTGTTTGTGTTGAATTTGTTAAGATTTTGATTCCACTTTAGACCTTGATATTCCATTTTGGTAAATGGCACATTACCAATGTTTAATTGCTTGGACCACTATTTATTTTATTGCTGATGTGATGCATATTGCCAAATTGAATTTAACTAGTTAGTTTATTTTGATCTATGGGAAGATGCACTCTTAGTTTGTGTCCCTTTGTTATGTATATAAAGATCGATTTGTTTTCATTATTTATAAGTTGTAGTAACTTGCTAGTTTTTGTTAATATAGCAAACATGGTTCCAGGTGATACTAAGTGAAACTTAAGTATCTAAATATTTACTTGTGCAGAAATAACAAAATATTGTTTAATATATTGTCATGTTGGTTGTGAATATTCTTTCTTCATATTAGGAATGGACAAATTGCTTTTGTTTTCCACGATGCAGATAGGAAAACTGAGCTAAGGGAACAAAATGGCTGAGGGAGAGCTCTCCTTGTTCCAATGCACTGATAACTTTAGTATGTTGTGCTTTGTAAGAATAAAAGGGTCATGCTCTTCCCTGGGTACTAGAAGAAGTTACTCGCTATGCATAATATAGTTGATAGTTAAATTTGCTATTGCTTTTGTCTCGTTAATAAACCTTTTCAATAAAGTTGAGTCTTAATAGTACCGTTGTTATGGTTAAATTGTGCTTATTTCGTGCATTTTTTCCATGCTAAACCCACTAACTGCATGTAATGGAAATAGTTTTAAGTTGAAGGTGGACTTGTAGTAAGCAAGTACGTAAGAATGCATCATATAACTTATCACTTTAAAATTGCTAGACTAAAATTAAATAAAACCCTCATGCAATGTTCAGGGATTATATAATGTATCATCTGCTGTGAATGAGCTGAATTGCTGGAAGAGTTTTGCTGCATTTACCAAGCATTAGTGGGGAAGGCATGTAAAATTTTCTCTACAATGTGTTTGTTTAATTGGAACATTTCTAGGACCAGGCAGTTGAATACACTTCAATAATTATGAATGACTTAATGTTAACCTAGCTAGTTTAGATTATTTCTTGAAACTGCTGTAAATGTTTTTTTCATAAAACTGTTGTGTTGAATTATTTGTACTTTTAATGTCAAACAATAAACTGAAGTGTGCAGAGCGCTATTGTGGTTTTGGCTGCTGTGTTCTTAGATCTTCTGAACTTGATTCAGTGTTGGAATTCGGGAAATCTTCCCTTTTGAACCAATTAACCCAACAACCAACTCCCTTCACTGAACGTTGTGGATTCTGGACCAGCCATATTGTTTTAGGAAACATTAGCTTGAGGACAGCAAGGTTAAGATAAAACAAAATCCCTTCAAAAAAAAACTAAAAACAATAATTAAATTGGTCATTTTCAATCTACGACTGTTTGTGGGACATTGCTGTGCGCAATTGGCTGCCAAGTTCGCCCACAAATATACAGTCAATTCACTTTACAGTGTGTTCTGTGAAGCGCTTTGGGACGTCCTCCCGACGTGAAAAGCGCTATATCAAATGCAAGGATTATTATTATTATTATTAATGCAATACTACCATTATTAATTGCAATATTAATGCAATAATGCCTCCCTCACACCCTCCGCCCCACCATCGGAGGTTGTGCTTTCAGCCCAAAACTCTGAAACACTCTCCTCAATCCCTCCGCCACGCCCCCTCTTTCCCCTCTTTCAAGTCCCACCTGAAGACTTTCCTGCTCGACCGTGCTTACAGCCACCTCCCCGCCCCCCCCGGCTCGGAATCAGGCTCCACCATTGTTAAGCACTCAGAGATGCTGCCCTTCATGGAGGGCGCTGCATAAGTGCATATTGTTATATCAAAAGCAAGGTTCTGTAATATCCTAAATAATATTCTGCTAATGTCACTACTCTTTCTTCTCATTGTGTACCTACATTAGGTTATTTAACTTAAATAAATTCTACCCATTTCTCTGCATCCACTCGGGAGTTGATACCCACAGAAATAACTTCAGTCCATTCTTTGGGAATTAACTTCTAAAGGCTGATCAAGAGATTGATCATTATAGTTTGACTGGTTATGCCACTGGAGTGATGAGGTCGTGCTCTATAAGCGAAAACTAGAAGCACAAGAGAACACCGGGGGCCCAGCTGCACCAAAATGAGTCATCGTTGGTAGCCGCAGGGATTAAACTCCCTCTTTTATTGACCTAAAACTGTAACTAATAGCGCACATTAAAAATACTTTAAGAATTTCCAAAACTCTACAGTCAAAGCAAAATGTCAGGAAACAAATGCCTGCAATGTGAATTATGCATGTAAGAATCCTCTGAATCTACTCGTGATACTGAATATATTTTATGACACCATGTTCACAATGGAATTAGAAGCAACATTTGCACGAGAGCAAAACAAGGACAATTTAGTCCATTTTTTGTGTGGGATGTTTAGCTTCAATAGAACATTATGCACACGACCAACAGATCTCGGATCTAAATATACCAAGAAAGAAAATAGTCACTCAATCCAGATGAAATTTAATGTGGAGAAATGCGAAGTAATGCATTTTGAGAGGTTTATACTGATAGTGCAATCTCAAAGGTGGTGCAGGAACGGAGAGACCTGGGATTCATATAAGCAAATCTTTGAAGGTGGCAAATATCTCTAAAAGTCGCTGAAACCCTGGTCCATGCCTTTGTCACCTCTCGGCTATTCTAACGCCCTCCTCGCCGGTCTCCCCTCCACTACCATCCATAAAATCCAGATCATTCAAAACTCTGCCGCCTGCATTCTGACCTGCACCAAACTCCGCTCCCCGATCCCCCCAGTCCTGGCCAGACTGCACTGGCTGCCTGTCCCAGAGAGGATCGACATCAAGATCCTCACCTGTGTCTTCAAATCTCTCCACTCCTCTGCACTCCCCGACCTCTCTGACCTCTCTCCTCAAAACAGTACCCATTGCCTTCGTTCCTCCAGGTTTGGCCTCTGAGTCCTCCGCTCCACCCTGGTCGGCCGGGCCTTCAGCAATAATAATAATAATAATCCTTGCATTTGATATAGGTCTTTTCACGTTGGGAGGACGTCCCAAAGCACTTCACAGAACACACTCTAAAGTGAATTGACTATATTTGTGGGCGAACGCTGCAGCCAATTGCGCACAAACAGTCGTAGATTGAAAATGACCAATTTATTATTGTTTTGTTTTGGAGGGATTATTATTAGGCTCTGTGTGGAGTAAGGAAACTTGCCCAAGGTTTCGCCCTGACGGGAATTGAACTCAGGTCTCTCATTCGCAAAGCGAGTGCTCTAACCACTGAGCTACAGGACTCCACGGGGGCAACTATGCCCCAAGGTTCTGGAACTCCCTTCGTCGCTCCCTTCGCCTCGCCCCCTCGCTTCTTATTTTCAGGTCTCGGCTGAAGACCTTTTTGACCGCACATTTGGTCACCTTCCTCCCACTCCCCCTGGCTCCTCACCCTCCCCCTGGCTCGACCCCGGGATCCGTTACTGTGAAGTGCTCTGAGACCCCGTCCGGCGTGGAGGGCACTATATAAATCCAAGTTGTTCTTGTTGGCAGGATAGGTAGATAAACCTGTTAAAAAGCATCCGGGATATTAGGCTTTATAAATAGGGACATAGGATACACAAGTCAGGAAGTTATGACGAACCTTTATATAAAACACTGGTTAGGCCTCAGTTAGAGACTGTGCTCAGTTCTGGGCCCCACACTTTAGGAAGGATGTCAAGGCATTGAAGAGGATACAAAGGAGATTGACCAGGATGGTACCAGGAATGAGGGACTTCAGTTATCAGGAGAGACTGGAGAAGCCGGGATTATTCTCCTTGGAGCAGAGAAGGTTAAGAGGAGACTTAATAGAAGTTTTCAAAATGATGAGGGGGGTTTGATACGATGAACAAGGAGAAACTATTCCCACTGGCGGGTGGGTCGGTAACCCAAGAGCACCGATTTAAAATAGTTGATAAAAGAAACGGGAGGTGAGGAGAAATGTTTTCACACAGTGAGTTGCTGGGATCTGGAATGCATTGCCTGAAAGGGTGGGGGAAGCCGATTCCATAAAAGCATTTAGGAGAAGTAGATTCGGGGAGGACAAATTTGCTCTTGGGAGAGAGCGGGAGTGGCATTAATTTGGACAGCTCTTTCAAAGGTCCGGCACAGACACGATGGGCCAAATAGTTTGTGCTGTATGATTCTACGAATCCATGACTCTTTGTGGGACGCTGCTGTGCGTAATTGGCTGCCGTGTTTCGCCCACAAAATATACAATCACTACACTTGACAGTATATTCTGTGAAGCGCTTTGAGACGTCTCAAGATGTGATGAGCTATATCAAATGTAAGGATTTTTATTATAGAGTCTTCCAACTTAACTCCAAAAAAAAGCTTCATTAAATATATTTATATTACACCTAATGCAGAAATCACACAAAAAAATCTTCCTTCGAAGCCACATTGGGAGGTATGCCATATATGCACCTTCCCTGGCCTGAAATATTTCCTACAGCTATTGGGTTACAATGCTCAAAGCTTTCTTCCTGTTTTTCAATAGATTTTATTCATATATTTTCTTCAATAAAATGTTTTGAAGATGTTGAAGCCTTTAGGATCACCATGAGCATTAGCAAACTCACTTTGACATCAGAGCTTTCTCCTGTGGAATCATCAATCTCTAAAAGATACTGCACTAACTGCCACATCTCTGCAACTACAAATAACATTTGTATATGCCACCGCTCAGTGAGCTCCGGCCTGCTTCACCTTGCTTGCCGAGCTGGCCTTCAGCTTCTCTGCCCCCAACCTCTGGAACTCCATCCCGCAGTCCCTCAGCCTCACCCCCTCCCTTGCATCCTTCACCCATCTCAAAACCCTCTTCAACCACGCCTTCAGTCACCCTCCTAACCCTACCCTCCCTGCGCTCCATACATCCTGATCCCAAATGCCAGTTCAGGTGCAGATCCCTACTGTCCAGAGCCCCAGGATCTCCTGACGTGAAAAGCCCCACACAAATGTAATTTATTGTTACACATTAGGAGGAACTTGAAATTGATGCTATTCTCTCTTTATGAGATCTCTTCTGCATGTTTTTCAATGGAAGATAAATATACGTTACAAAAGGGAAATTTTAGCTGCCTTTCTTGCTAAAAAATGGTCGGATATTTTTTTTTGCCTCTACGTTTTTATGGTACGTACACAAGGACAAGTTTAAATGGAGAATCTGTTCATAAACAAAAAAAAGATTAAAATGCTATTTAATATAGCAGTTCATGGGATTGAAATGTTTCCATAGCAAGTCACACAAATAATCAAAGAGAGTGCCGGCAACCAACCCAAACATATTCTGGTGCTCAATGGGTACTTTTACTGCTGCTAAAGTAGAATACAAAAAACTTCTAAAGCCATGGTGGAAATTAAAGGTCGTATAGACACAGAATGCATGAATCATAAAGGTAACAACTGAAATTTCCCAACTACACGAATACCAGCAGCAACTTTACTAGGTGTAACCTCTAATTTCTGAGAAAAATTGTCAGATTTAATGAAATAAAGATTAATGCAATTTTTCCTTTAGGATGAAGCAATGTAATATCTACATTTTATGAAAACATGATCTCCCCTGGTTATAGCAATAATTTATTCCCGTTCAGTAATGCCAAGTGATAGTTATCAAATAAACCGTAATATACTGTACCTCCAATACATGCAGCCAGACATCAACTGTGATACTCAACATGGAAAGGCATTTAAAATTATTACGATACAAATATTCAAAATTTCTCTCAACTTTTCAGTTATAAACGCAAAGGCAGGGAACGTGGAGCAGGCCGAGCAGAGGGAGCGGCAGGTACTAAGGTTTTAGTAGATTGCAGAGTTAGGGAGGAGTAAGACTTTAAAAGTGAGAAAGCAAATTAATTGAATCAGCTTGTTACCTCATTTTGTTATAAACGTCCTTATTCATTTTGATTCACAAAAAAATGAATGCATCGTTCAAAAGACAATTTGAACTTTTTAATATAAATCCTGAAAGCGCTTTGGAGAATGATTAGACCTTGTGACTAGTCTGGTATTCTGAGGATTTCAATTGCACTCGATCTCAACCATCAAGAAAATAACAAAAGTTTGGTCTTGGAAAGATCTATTGCT